CATGCCTACACTTTGTTTCTCTTTCTCTCCTTTCATGTTTTTTTTTTTTTTTTTTCTTTTTTTCTTTTCATTATTATTTTGACACAGGGTCTCACTAAATTGCTAAGCTGCCAGGCTGGATTCAAACTTGCAGTCTGCTGCCTCAACCTTGACGAGTTCAGACTGAAGCAAGTCTGTTCACTAACTCTTCCCTCCTCACTAACTCCCATTGGTTTAAATTTATTCTTCATAAAATAAATGGGAAGATAGGTTGTGCTTAACCCCACTGCTTCCGTGGAGTACATTTACCATAGGGAGGTTAATAAAAATCCGTATTTGAAGAAATACTGCATTTCTAAAAATTATAATGAAGATTTCTTAGTTTCTCTGTTTGTGGAAAACTTCATAATTTATTCAACTCTAGGGGAATCTAAATGAAGAAGGCTTAATTTCTATTGTAGTCTCATATTAATTTTCCAAGTTTATCAAGATGACCAACATTCTGTATTTTATATTGCTTCTAAAATAATAGTACTTTTTCTTTTCTGTAAACAGAAAAGCTGAATATTAAGTTTGTGCACCCTGAGGCCAGAGCTGGGCTGCTGTCTTTTGAGGAGAGCCAGAGAATTCAGAAGCTTCATGAAGAAAACAGACAGTTCTTGAGCATACCGAGGAGGTGAACCGAACAGCTTTGGTTTCTCAGCTGCCATTATCATATCCCAAATTCCATATTTTATTTTCGTAACTTATTCGTGGAATTGCTTCCCCTCTGATTATTTCAGACCAATCTGGGATAAGAAAACTAGCGCAGAAAAACTCAAACAGGCAGAGAATGATAACTTCCTAAAATGGAGACGTGAGCTTGCCCGGTGAGTGTCCATTCCTGAGCCCTGAGCTGGGACCCTGGCGGCGGCGCTGCCGTCTGCCCTGGAAGTCTTAAGTGCAAGTGCTCTAGGAGGGGATGGCTGTGGTGTTGGCCGGTGCATGCGCACATAGGACGCTGCTGGTATGCGTGTCCTCATTGCAAGGATGGCGAGATGCTTATTCTGTTCGTTCCTTCCTCATTCCGTGTGACTCTTGGGCACCCTGCCATTCTTCCAGCAGGACTTGGGTGGGAGATGTGTGATTTTTGTATGAGAAAACAGCTTCCAGGCTGAAGTTGGAAGGAAGTAGCTGAAGGATAAAATGTGACTATGGTGGGATGTGGTGTGCATAACTGATTTTAGTGTGACTCAGGCAATATATAACAATAATTTGACAGTACATGTATACTTGTTTTTTACTGTAATGAATTTGGGCATTTATACTGCTTAAAGCTGTCTATTATAATCTGGCAAAGATACAAACTTCTCATTCTAAAGCCAGGCTAGAAGAAGAACAAAAGTTGATATTGACTCCGTTTGAACGAAATTTAGACTTCTGGCGCCAGCTCTGGAGGGTCATTGAGAGAAGGTGAGTAACCATTTTCCTTCTTTGTTTTGTTTGATATTTTTTGTTTGTTTCTGGCGGAACCAGGGATTGAACTCAGGCCCTTGCACTTGCCAGGCAAGCACTTATTCTACTGAGCCATCTCCCTGGCCCTGTTTCATTTTGTTTCATTTTTTGAGACAGGGTCTCAGTATGTAGTCCAGGCTGACCTTGAACTTACTGTGTAGCCCTGGCTGGCCTTAAAATCAGTGTGATACTCTTACGTCAGCCTCCTGAGTGCTAGGATACAGACGTGTACCACAATGCCTAGTACCATTTTCTTTGTGCAATGAAGAGTCTGTGGGAGGGGTTTTAGATTTGGGTGTTGTTGTATGCTCATGGGCAGTAGGTCTAAGAAGATAAGGATTAAAATACATAAAAAGTTACTGAGATTTTTTTTTATTTTTGCAGTGCCAGGGATTGAACTCGGCATCTTGCGCTTGCCAGGCAAGCACTTATTCTACTGAGCTATCTCCCCAGCCCTGAGAATTTTTAAAAGTAAAAGTTTATCTCACTAGATGAGTGGATTGACAAGTATATGAGGATCACCTTTTTTATAAGGTGAATTCTGTACTTATTTCTGCAAAAAAGTATTGTGTTTCCAATATTAACAAGAAATGTAGGCATGAAAGTAGATTCTTGCTTGTAGAGAGCATGAATGTTATAAGAGACAGATGGCAGTGGCCATCTCAGCGGTCTTTCATGGAGCTCAGCTAGCTAGCAGGCCAAATGCCAGCACCAGGGGCACCTAAATGAAGGCCCTCAACCTCCACGAACTCAGTGCCCAGGTGGCTGGTCTGTCACTGGCCTCACTGTTGACTGTACTCCTACTGTTTATACAGTGTGTACCTGGGCATGTGTCTGATCCTATGCTCTCAGCCTCCTGGACAGAGATAAAACTAGCTACATTACTGTTCTAGTCACTTTCTTGTTGCTGGGACAAAACACCTGACACTCACAAATTAAAGGAGGAGAGATTTATTTTAGTTCATAGTCTGTAGAGATTTAAGTCCAGGCAGCTGACACCAAAGCAGGGTGGTGCAGCAGATCAGAACAGTTCATGGCAGGGCAAGCAGGAAGCAATGAGCCTTCCTCCTCTCCCTTTGTATTCCATCCAGGGTACAAGCCCGTTGGCTGCCATCCACATCCCTCATCTGTAGTTACATCACCCATACCCAGAACTATGCTAAGCCCGTTAGTGAACTAATCCAGTTACCATACACCCAGAATCCAGCCACCTTGCAAAAGCCTCACCTAAAAGAACATAATGCTCCAGGGGAACATCTAGATAGGAGCCAAAACAGTCACACACATCTGTCACCCAAATTAGTTTTTATAGACGTTGTGTAATTACCATCAAAGTCATGAGAGAATTTACTTTTGTTTGTAACTTATATGTATCATTTTTATACTGTTTGCTTCCTTTATTTTTTCTTTCTTTTGAGACACAGTCTCACTATGCAGTTGAGGCTGACTTTGAACTAGAATTAGAAGCTTGCTCCATCAGGCCAGACTTTGTTCCCTATTTTTAATAATTAAAAACTTTATAATCACAGGGTCATACTAAATTAAAAGGTAAATTTTAGAAGTTACCTGAAATGTGACTTGAAAATTAACCTGTTGAAAAGAATGTACATGAGGAATTTTGTTTAACCCAAAACATGTACAGAAAAGCAAAACAAAGACTTGCCCATGACTTCTGTGGCAAAAGCCAACCTGTTTTATAGCCCCTTATATACCTAGTGCCTTTAGTAAGGCACTGTGAACAGTCTCCTCTGTTCCACCTCTCTCTCTAAATTCCTGTTGTATTTAATCTTCAATACTTCATTCTCATTGGCCAGTCATTTGGAATTATAATACATCTATATAATAAAATCATAAAGATTGATGTCATTAAAGAATATAACATAATAGTAGAATAGATTAAATAAGGGTTCATCTAATATATTTTTTGTATAGTCCTGCATAACTATCATATTGAGAGCTCTTTATTGTTCATCCAGGAGCATACTGTAACTTCTCTTGCCTTTTGAATTATGCTCTTTGTTATTTCCTATATGTTACTTCTGGAGGTATTAAAATATTTCAAGTTTGTATAACTAAAAATAGTAAAATAGAATATTTATACTTTTCAAAGCTGCTATAAAAATTTCCTCTAAAAAGAAGTAAGTTACATATGGAAATCTCTTCCCCTGGTACCTCGGTGTATGGGCACAGTACCTCCATAACACCTTTCATTAATAGAGGTGTTCTCAGGGCTGCCAACCTAACAGTACAGGTTGTCATAGTATATCTCTCCTGTATTTAAGAGAGAGAGAGAGAGAGAGAGAGCCCATGTGCCTTTTGTTGTCTTTTGCTTGCCATGAATTACTGTCCTCTGTAAAGCTATCCTGCTTTGGAGCCAGCCAATTATGGACTCCAGCCTCTGCAAACTGCAAACATGGTGGTACTTGTCATAATCCCAGTACTCTGGAAGGTTGAGGCAGGTAGATCACAAATTTGAATCCAACCTGACCAGCTAATGACTTAGCAAGACCCAGTCTCAGAATAAAAAAGGGAGACTTCTAGGAAGATGGCCACATGGTAAGCAGCAAAGAAAGAACCTCTCTGAGATTTGGTGTCAAAGAAGAGAATAAGGAGAGAAGTGAGTCCAGGGGAAGATCTGAAGTGAGAATTGAAGCCCATGAGGTGGGCAAAGACAGAAACTGTAGTGAGAAGAAGAAGGAAGTGGTGAGTGGCACCTTCTCTGAGTCAGGACTCACTGTGTGGGAGGAGCAGTTCAAACCTGCAGACACAGAGTTACTGCTGGCGACCCCAGAGGCCTCCACAGAGTACCACAGAAGAGTAGATTGCACAGACTGCCCTGGCTGGTGAGTGACGAGCATTCAGCCATCCCATTGGGAGAAGGCATCTTGGAGAGGAGCCGCCTGAGCTCAGGTCGCAAAATGACTGCTGGCTTCAGCTAGCAGCTCCCAGCTGAGTTCAGGCTCACAGAGCTGTGTTGACTACTGCAGGCTGAGCAGGTCTGATTTAGCTTCACAGCCAGAAACCAGCCTGGACTTTAGAGAAAATAAAGATGAGGCGTCGGCTTGCTGAGATTATCCACTACCCTGCAATAAAGCTACTGCTGGCTTGCAGGGACATAGCAACACAAGTGTGGACTCTGTATCCACACATTGTGTGCCAGTGAGCAGAGAGAAACTTCGAAGCAGATGTTCTCCTCTTTTCTTCTTCATTGAATTGTTTTTATACGAGGGTGAACATAGGGTCTTGTTTCTTTGTGGTTCTGTTCTCTTATTTCTTCATTCTCTCTTCCTATTCTGTCTTCTGCATCAGTTTCCCAACGTTTACATGATCCTCCTTTGTCCTCCAGCCGTGCTTCTAATGTTTTACACTTCTCTATTTTCCCCGTAATCTCTTAAATTTTATCCCCTGAGCATAGGATTGACATATTGGGGGCTTATTTACTGCATACAGTTTTTTTTTTCTTTTTTTTCTTTTTTTTTTTTTAAGAGCAGAATATATTTATTGAGAGAAAGAAAGCTCCTGTCCCGAGAGAGGGACAGAAGGTGGGGCCCGAGCGGGTAGTTCCCCGGGAAGCTTGCGTACAGTTTTCTAGTTTAGTTTACATTTTGTTATATAATCACAAATCTACTTCATAGGTTTATTGTGGTAAATTAATGGTTACCTCAGTTTGTCTTGTAGGTTGTGTGTGATGCTTTTGTTATTGCAGATTATACCACGTTAGCCAAAGTGAAGTGATTATTCTAACCAGCTGTTCTTCCTGGTGTACGAAGACTGAGATTGATTAAGGGCCATAGAAAATACTGTGGGCAAGTGCCAATAACCAGAGGCTGGGCCACGCAGGCAGCAACTTCTCACCCCCAGTAAATTCAAGACGTAGAATCTTTCAGCAGACTCTAAACCCAAAGCACCTGAAGATACCCCTGAGAAGTAATCATTTCCTAAGGATTCTAAATACAGTAAAACTAACCACCATAGGCAATTTACATGCATCAACCCAGGAATTAAACTAAAGAAAAGAGAAAACGAGACATTCTCATGGATGTACGGATGCAGTCCCAGACACCCAGTTCACCAAAGGCAAAGCCACGGGGCACTGAGGTAGAACAATCTGAAAGCTGCCCACCTGTGCTCTCTGAAGTAGTGACAACAAAGCAAATGTATAAGGCTCTCGAGATAGATCAAATCAGAAATAATTTCTCAGGTAACTATAGGGATGGTGACCACAATGAAAAACATGCTTAGTGACTCTAGAGCAGATACACATAGAAGAAAGAATAGAGGAGCTTGGGAAAATGATGGAAACCATGAATGGCCAACATAGCAAAGAAATGGAATCCATAACACAGATTAAGACAGATACCCAGGAGATTAAAAATTCTATTCAAAGCCTTCACAGCAGAATAAGCCAATCTAAGTACAAGATCTCAGATAGAAGGGCCAGCCAAATAGCTCAGCAGATTAAAGCGCCTGCTTAGCAGAGCACACTGGCCAGGGTTGGATCCCCAGCATGCCATGCTGGCCCCACCCCCAGGGCTTGCTAAAACAGCGATTGAGACTGGGTGTGGTATCATGTGCCTGTAATCCTAACACTTGGGAGGCTGTAAACAGGAGAATCATTACAAGTCCAATCTACACAGTGGGATCCTGTAGACCCTGTCCTAAATACAAAAAAAAAAAAAAAAGTCTCAGATACAGAAGACAGGCTTATGATTAATCATGAAAACAAAGTTTTTTTGTTTTTTTTTTTTAATAGCAAGGAAGGGCTGGCCTAATATAGCTCAGCAGATTAAAGCACCTACTTAGGCAGACACAGGGTGGGGATGAGGGGATATTCAGTCTGCCGCCTACTGGGCCGGCCCCGCCCCTAGGTCGCTCAGAGACAGGGAATGAGACTGGGTGTGGTGGTGTGCACCTGGAATACCAGCTCTTGGGAGACTAAAAAATAGGAAGAATCACTGCGAGCCCAATCTGTGTAGTGAGACCTTATAGACCCTGTACTAACCACATGCAAATAAATAAGAACTGAAAAAAGCAAGGAAAAAACTCAAAAACTCAATCCAGCAGCTGCTAGATAATGCAAAAATAAATAACATAGGATTGATTGGAATCAGTGAAAATGTGGGAGATAGCACAAATTACATTAAAATCCCATTTGCCTGTTAGGAAACTTCCCTGGCAGGAATAAATAAATAATTTGATATATAGTTAAGTCAGGCACTTAGAACTGCAATTAGCTATGATCAAAAGAAGAACTGCAGTTAGCTATGATCAAAAGAAATCTATAGGGCCAGGGAGATAGCTCAGTAGAATAAGTGCTTGCCTGGCAAGTATGAGGTGCTGAGTTCAATCCCCAGTACCATCAAAAAATAAGTAAATAAATAAAAAGTCTATTTTTAACTTTAAAGAAAAAAAAGAAATCTATAGCAAGATTTATAATAGTCAAGCTTCCTGAAGTTCAATACAAAAATAGTAAAAGCTATTAGAGAAAAGAACAAATTGCCTATGAAGAAAAGCCCATCAGAATCACAGCAGACACACACACACACACACACACACACACACACACAAATAAATAAAAAAAAAAATTAAAAAGGGCTGGTGAGATGGCTCAGTGGTCTAAAGCACCTACTTAGAACAAGCTCAGCAAAGCACAGGGACCGCGGTTCGATCCCCCAGCACCACATGCCAGCCAGCCCGCCCCCTGGTGGGCTGAGCTGGCCACACACACACACACACACACACACACACACAAATAAATAAATAATAAAAAAAGAATCACAGCAGACTTTTTTATTTTTATTTTTATTTTTATTTTTTTTTTTGCGGAACCAGGAATTGAACTCAGGCCCTTGTGCTTGTCAGGGAAGCGCTTATTCCAGTGAGCCATCTCCCCAGCCCCTGACAACAGACTTTTCAACTCAAGCCCTCAAGTGAAGGAGAGCTTGAAGTGTTTCAAACCCTAAAGGAAAACAGTGTCCAACCCAGATTGATGTACACCGGAAAACTAGTGCTCATACTTGTGATCCTAGCTCTTCGGAGGCTTGCCATGAGTTTTGAGGCCATTGCCATGACTACATAGTGAGTTCAAGGTCAGCCTTGAACTCACTATCTCAGAAATCAGTCAAGAGGCTGGGGAGATGGCTCAGTGGAATAAGCACTTCCCTGGCAAGCGCAAGGGCCTGAGTTCGATCCCCGGTTCCGCTAAAAAAAAAAAAAAAATGATGGAGGAATAAGTTACTTTCATGGCAAAGAGCACCTGAAGAAGTTAGTGATCACCAAACCAGCACTCCAGAGTGTTCAGAAGGACATTCTAGAAAGAGATAACAAGGATTACAACTTCATGAACCCCAACAGAATGAATCCATGAGGTAAGGCAAACAAGTAAATGGGGAAAAAATAGAGCGAATTACACGAAAATAACATGACAAGGATAAATCAGTACATATCAGTTATAACCATCAACATTGTGTGTTGATTCAGCAGTCAGACTGCCAGAATGGATCAAGAAGCAGGATCCAGGGGCCGGGGAGATGGCTCAGTGGAATAAGCATTTTCCTGGCAAGCGCAAGGGCCTGAGTTCAATCCCCGGTTCTGGAAAAAAAAAACCAGGATCCAGCAATATACTGTGCACAGGAAACACATTTCAAAAAGAAATTCATAGACTATGAAAGTCAAAGAATGGTAAACAGTACTCCATAGGACTGGAACCTGGGGGCAGGGGGGAAACAGTTAGCTATTCTCTTTGCAGAAAAAGTGGTCTTCTAGCCAAGACTGAAGGTTCTTAGTGTCCTTAACACAAAGAATGTTCTCCTTCTGTGAATGAATTCAGTGGAATGGTGCGGGGCTCAGGCAGGGAGTGTAGGCTGCCTTTAATCCTGTGCCTACCCTCTCTCGAGCCTGGCCCAACCCCCAGTTTTGGAGCCCTTCCAGTCCCTTTCTTCCCTAGCAGACTCTGCCCTCTGCTGTCAGGGTAGAGGAAGGGGCTGTGCAGAATTGCCGCGGAGTTTCATCCTTTTACTTTCATGGGTCCCAAAAGGGAGCTGTTAGTGTGGAATAGGAAGGCCCTTGCGTTGGGTGCCCTTGTGCCAGCAGCTGTTGCCACTAGCATCGGATGGATTGTACTGTCCCTTGCTCTTAGGTTTATTAGGTGATACCTGCCCCACCGTGTGACAGAATAGGTCTTACTAAAGGACTGCAGTTCCTATCACATGGAAATAGATCTGCTTTACACAGAAATGTTACTGATAAGTGATGGCTGCCACGTCTTTCACAGGAAACATTTACTGCTGTCTTCTCTGTCACAGATGTCTCCTGTTTACTCACAGGCTGGCTGGGCCATCTGTCACATTCATTCTAGTAGTATCTCTCAGGAGTGCTGGCTGTGCACCACGCAGCAGGATGCAGGAAACTGCCAGCTCTGAGGGCTGAACACTGTATTCCAGTGAGATGAGCCACTTCCACGGGGCAGTGAGCGCTTCCTGCCCCACGGCTGGCACTTTGCACCTGGGTCCAGCATTCAGTGCGAGCTGGCCTGACACGCCTTCCTTTCTCACTGTTGGCCTGAATTTGCTTACTCCTTTTCCCTGTCTGTGGGCCTTGTGATTTTTTAGCTCATCATCCAAATTAATTCAACTGGAAAGTGAGATAGTACCTTAAAGGAGAAAATAGTGGGGCAAGCATAATTAGAAAAGATAGCAATTAGTCAGAAATTCCCAAGTCTGTAAGTTCTTTAAATCCCAAGACTACTAGGAGTTTAACCATTCTGAAAGCAAATGCACCTGGAGTTGTCAGGAGCCCTACCTGTAATGGTAGCGTCGCTCCCTCGGTGTAGATTTGTGGAGTTACCTGAGCAAAAGCTGCCAGCCAGCCTAGAATTTGAAAAGCCTGCTGTGAGGTGGTGACAGCTCTGCAGAGTGTGTCTACCAGTGGTCACAGCTGGCTTTTTGATCTCAGCTGCAGGGACGGAAGAGCCTTCCATCCAAGTGAAGAAGAAAAGTGCTTCACTGAGAGGAAGGCGAGGGACAGGCCATCAGCTCCAGGCTTTCTTATGTCACCTCTTTGTGCCATGGGAGAAGTTGGACTCGTTCCTGCTTCATTGTGCCAGCTGGAGCTGGTAGTGGGTGGTTTTGTATTTGCCCTGAAATGCATTCTTGGACTGTTGGGTGATTGTTGGCTAGCTGCAAGCTGTCTTCTCTGGCAGTCCTGATTTCAAATGAGATACTGGCTCAGTGGCAGCTGGCAGCAAGACCCTTATTTCTCTTCTATAGAGGTCTGCGTAGAAGTGCAGGTGAGGAGTGGATTTAATAGATGTCACCTAAGAGGGCAGAGTTTGAATGCTCTTCCCTCTCCAAGAGGACATAGAAGTAAGAGTGAGAGTTTAGCTTTGAATGCCATGTGGGCCGCTGAAGGTAGCATAGGAGCAGTAGAGTAGGACCTCTGTCTGGGACACGAGGAGGCCTTTTAGAGCTCCACCAACTCTTAGCCCAGTCGGGCAGTCACATAGCTGCTGTGAGGGTCAGTTTGTACACATACGGACAAGAACCCTCATGCCAGAAGGGGTGAGCGTGTGTAGGGGGCTGATGTGTGGGAGCATTTGCTGCTCTGCCTTCTGAATGCAGGCAGTGGACCTTTTTGCTCCTTGGAGACTGAGTTGATTATCTCGCTTGTGTTTCAGTGATATTGTGGTCCAGATAGTAGATGCTCGAAACCCGCTCCTGTTTCGCTGTGAGGATCTGGTAAGTACCAATTTCCCTCCTTGGAACGGTAAAGAGGCCCGGGCCTCAGCACATTACTGCAGACAAGTGCTTGGCTTAGGCAGATCTCGTTTTCTATGGTCTTTTTTTTTTTTTTTTAGGGCTGCACAGCTCACACTCGTAGTGCTCCTCCTGTCTCAGCCTCCCCCGCACTGGGATTACAGGCATTCACAACCATGCCTGGTTTCATTGACCCAGCACAGGGCATGGCATGCAGTGCCCGGGATTGAACCTGGGACCTTATGCTGGCCTGGCAGGCACTCTGACTGCTGAGCTAGCTCCCCAGCCTGGTGGTCGTTCTGTCCACAGGAAAGCACACATACTTCAGGAGTTTCCACTTTAGTTTAGAAGCCCATTTATTAATACATTTTTGCCAATTTCCTAGTTTTCGAGTCATTGATTGGAATAGCATTGTGCTTACTTTAGCGAGTTCTACTCTTGATCACACCACTGCTTAATCCTCATGTAAGTTCTGTCTTTTCACACCCTACTTACTACTCTGTGGTATTTTACAAGTAAACCAAGTTTATAAACACTACAGGGAGGGGCTGGTGAGATGGCTCAGTGGTCTAAAGCACCTCCTTAGAACAAGCTAAGCAAAGAGCAGAGACCGCGGTTCAATCCCCAGCACCACATGCCAGCCAGCCCCGCCCCCTGGTGGGCTGAACTGGCCACACACACACTAAATAAATAAATAAATAAAGTTATAAAAAAAATAAAATTACTTTCTTAAAATAAATAAATAAATAAATAAATAAAAATAAACACTACAGGGAATAGTAACTAAGGTGCAAACATTACCTGAAATCATATTACACAATTTGAATTAATAAAGCATCATAAACATGTGAGGTGATCATATCTCTGGGAACTACATGTAGTTATAATAGTGCTGGCTGTGTTTGTTTGGTTGGTTGGTTTTTTTTCTGCTTTTTCTGAGACAAGATCTTACTACGTAGTGCAGGCTGACCTTGAACTTGCTGATGTAGCCCAGCTTGGCATGGAATTCACATCAGTCCTCCTGCGTCAGCCTCCCGAGTGCTAGGATTACAGGTGTGAGCCAGCAGATTTTTGTTCTGTTTTTTCTTTGTTTTTGTTTTTTAAGCTGGAATCAAAAAGTTTGGTTAGGTTTGGTTTTTTGTTTTTGTTTTCTGGTGGTACCAGGCATTGAACTCAGGGAGGACTTTGTGCTTGCCAGGCAAGCACTTATTCCACTGAGCTATCTCCCTGGCCCTCAAAAGTTTTTTTTGTTTTTTAAATTGGTAAGTGTCAAAAAGATTAACCATGAAACTTTTTTTCAGAGTTTACCGATTGGTTTATTTAGAATATACCAAGACTTTAAAAAAAAAAAAAAATCCTTCTGCCATTTTGGGGGCCCTGCCCCTTAGCTCAGCTCTTTAAGTGCCTGCTTTAACAAAGCAGTCAGGCTCAGGTCGCTGTGGTTCAATCCCCAGAACCCAAGCCAGCCAAACCTGCCCTGAAGGTATTCGGAGGAAAAAAAAAAAAATCCTAGAATATTCCAAGACTTAAAATCTTTACATTAGAAAGTGATTGGGGATGGGAGCTGTTACTAAAGATCTTCAGTATATAATCAGCCCAGTTTTTCCTGGTGTGCAAAGGCCTTTCTCTTTGCCTTCCACAGGAATGTTATGTGAAAGAGATCGACACCAACAAAGAGAACGTCCTCCTCATTAACAAGGCCGACCTCCTGACTGCCGAGCAGCGCAGTGCCTGGGCTGCACACTTTGAAAAAGAGTGTGTGCAGGTTATTTTCTGGTCAGCTTTGGCAGGAAGCCCTCAGCCAAGTGGGGATTTTAAGGTAACCTTGGGAACCTTTGAGGGTGATCTTGGGAGGATTTGTGCACATCAGTGGGCTTCATTTGTGTTGTGTTGTTTTGATGGTGATTTACTAGTTTTGCTTTTTGGGTTTTTTTCCATAAATGGTCTGGTGATAGGAGGACCTACGGGAAGGTCAATTACAAAGTTTTTTTTTTTTTTGTGGCTTTCAAACAGTCTGACATCCCTAGGGTTGGGCACTGATACTTAAAAATTTTTTTTTTAATTTTTAGGCAGGAAGTTTTCTAGGAAGTTTCATAATGACCTTGTAATTGCTTTTAAGAGAAGTTTGAACAAAAGGGTACAAATGAAGGGTGTAGTGACTTCTCAGGGCTTGATCCAAATCTCTTGGCTTTGTTTTGAAAACAGAAACGTAGTGCCCTTAAATTAAGATACACTGTGTTATTTCCCTTAACCCAGATTTTACAAAAACAGCTTGGGGCTTATTTTATTTTCCAATCAAATGTGAAAAGAAATGAGTACTTGAACTCTAGTTCTGGTACCGCTTTTTCCTTTCCTTGCTTCCCTTTTCTTTCCATTTACCAGTCAATGTCTGAGGCCTAGAGGGAGCTGAGCTGGCCTCTGAGTCCATCCCTTCCAGTACATGCAGGATGCTGACCCCTCTGTCCCCTCCACTGGGCACGGCATCTCGCTGGGTTAGGACAGTGGCCTAAAGGACTCAGTTCTTTCAGTCTCTGGCTCCAGAAAGTCATCCCTGGTCTGTCCCTGAGGATGTGGCTCCATTTCCTTGGTCTCTTTACAGACTTTGAGTCTTCTACTGTCAGGTCTCTCAGAGCGGGGCTAAGGGCACACTGCAGAGGCCTGTTTCTGTCATCAGGGTCCCCCTTGGCTCCAAGTTCTGTGCATTTATATTGCCAAAGAGTGAGTCAGTGTAACTCTTCACCTTGCTTTGAGATTTATATTAAATTAGCAAATCAGTTTGTGTGATTCTCTGTAAAGCTCAGAACAGAAACAGCTGAAGGTGTGAGACTTTTCCGTGTGATCTTGCACAAAAGGTTTTGCCACCTGCTGTGTGTGTTTGCCTTTCCCAGGCTCCAAGCAGATTTTCTCGCCTCTGTTCATCCTGCATAACCAGCTCTGGGAGTATCATCCCTCTTGGGAAAAATACTACTGCAAATTGGGGCACTTTTGGTTTCTTTCAGGCGCCAGAGAACAGCGACTCTGGAGAACCCAGCGCAGAAGAGTCTACAGAGTCTGGCTCCGAGGAGGGGACAGCTCCACCTGGTGAACCAGGCCCCCCCTCTCGCGGTGAGGCCACTAGCGAGGATGATAGCGAGTACGAGGACTGCCCAGAGGAGGAGGAGGAGGACTGGCACACATGCTCAGAGGAGGGCAGTGACATTGAGGAGGAGGCATGCAGCCAGGACTGGAGAGAGAGTCCTGCAGGCCGAGGGGCTGCAGGTGGGGAAACCCCGCAGAGGAATCGCCCTCACAACCTCAGCCACCTGGTGTCCAGGCGGGAGCTGCTGGAGCTCTTCAAACAGCTGCACACGGGCAAGAGGGTGAAGGCAGGGCAGCTCACCGTGGGCTTGGTAAGAGCAACTGCACATGCGATGGTCACTACTCCTGACTTTTCACCATCACACAACAACCCCTAGAATCAGACTGGTGTCTTGAGGAGCACGCAGCCTTCTGGTTCCCCTGGCTTTGGAATGAGGCTGCACTGGCAGAGCCCAGCTCAGAGCTATGCTACTTCCATTCCTGAGCTTGCTGTCTGGCCCCTCCCTCCCAGCCCTGGACTGAGCGAGTTCCTGGGAGAAGCAGGTGGGCTGAGAGCTTTCTGTGCTCCTCAAGCCTGGAATTCAATGCTCAGTGAGCAGCCTGGGCACCTTGCCAGCTGACAGTGAACACCCAACCCACAAACCCAGTAGAATCCCCAAACCAGGCAAATGGGACAGGTGCTTTGCTGCATAGATACTCACAATAAACAGAAAAGAGATCACACCCCCACCCACGCATGCACCCCTCACTCTGCAAGTGGCGATAGGAGAAACCCATACCCCAAGGGTACACCATGGCTACAGGTGCCACTGGCCTCAATGAAGGAAGTCTGTAAGAGATGAAGTAGTAGAGATCCCAGGCTAGCCTCAAACTTCCAAGTACTGGGATTACAGGCATGTACTTCCACCCCTGGCGTGCTGGGTGTTCTTGAGCCACTGCTTCTGGGTGAGTGGGAAAGAGGAACCTTGTATTTATACATTAGCAGTTGTCTCTGGAGCCAGGCATGTGGGGCGTGAGTCCCCGTCCTGCAGTAGGGTGTGCTTACCTGTTAGATGCACATCGAAAATGTGACACATTTCCCTTAATTTTACAGCTTCATCCTCTGTATTGCTAGAATGTTCATGTGTATTACAGACCCAGCTGTGCTATAGATTTCTCTCCTGGCAGCAGTGAGCAGCTTCCTCACTTTCTGAATGCCCTGCTCTGGGAATCTGGGGGACTGGTTTATTTAGTCATTCTCCAGACATCTGCAGTGCCTGCTGTATGCCGGGCCAGCAAGTGATAATTGAATAGGCTGTGGTGGTCTTTTGCATCCACCTGCTGCCTGCTCACCCTACTCCCTGAAGGAAGGTGCTGTGGGGCAGAGGAAGTGGCTGTAGGTTAGCCAGACCCCTGAAAGTGTGCAGATTGGCCATTAGTCCCTGGTGCTGGACTTGGATAAATGCATCTACCCCACAAGAGCTAAGAAAGGTGCATGGCCCGAGGTGCAGAGCCCTTGGAACTAGCTGGGCACATGTGCTGGCTTGTGTGCATTGCACTGTCTCTGGGCCGCTGGATGCTGCCTGGGACTGGTTGTGACTCCCACATCTCTTCTAGGTGGGTTACCCTAACGTTGGCAAGAGTTCCACCATCAACACCATCCTAGGTAACAAGAAAGTGTCTGTGTCTGCCACGCCCGGCCACACCAAGCATTTCCAGGTAGCCCTGCGAGCCTCACCCGCCCCCGCCACTCCGCTGTGTTCCAGGCCACACACCCAGCTCACACCTCTTCCCTTGCAGACCCTGTATGTGGAGCCCGGCCTCTGCCTCTGTGACTGCCCTGGCCTGGTGATGCCGTCCTTCGTGTCCACCAAGGCGGAGATGATCTGCAGTGGAATCCTGCCCATCGACCAGATGCGAGACCACGTTCCTCCTGTGTCACTTATATCCTTCCTGGGATTCTGGGCCAATGGGGTAGGGGGGCGGAGGAGACTTCCATTGTCACATGGAGAGCTCAGGTCTGATGATGTAAAAGGGAAGATCTAAAGTACTGGCAACCTCACAGGTCTCCCAGTGAGCTGGCTTATGACTTCAAGTTAGAGCCCAGCTCTGTAGTCAGTGTGGACAGAGAAGCCTGCCCTGCATACCCATGTCACTACCACTTGACTATGAAGGACGACCTTGGTGTGCTTTCTTGTCTTAACACTTCCCCTGTTCTCTAAAATGAGCACGACCTGCCTACCAGGTATGGTGACTATTAATCATAGTAGCTAACATTTATGGGCTACATGCTATGTGTGTTTCTGACACTAGGTAACACCTCTTATTCCAAGAGCAACCTTGGAGGCTAGGGTTACTATTGTTTCCTGCTTCCTTCTGTTTCTATTTGAGACTGAAACACAGCAAGATGAATTAGTTTGCCTAAGGCCCATAGCCAGGAGAGTCTCAGCGCCAGGTGAGCCAACACAGTGCACTGCCTGGAGGGTACTGTGCTGCCCTGGCTGCATGGGTTGTTCACAGAAATCTGTACAGGGGGATTCCTGGGGTCTCCTGCCTTCCTGCCAGTAGGCAGGCCTAGGGCCAACCAGATGGGTCAGCAGACTAAAGTGCTTGCTTAGGCAGGCACAGAGACCAGAGTTTGATCCCCGGCATGCCAAGCCGGCCCCGTCCCCAGGGTACACTAAGATGTTAATTGAGATTTAGCATGTTGGCGCATACCTGTAATCCCAGTGCTTGGGAGGCTGAAAGCAGGAGGATCAGCACAAGACCAAGGCACATAATGAGACCCTGCAACAGCTAAAATACATTTAAAAAAAAAAAAAAATCAGAAAGAGAGCTAGGGCTATATAGCTCAGTGGCATAAGTTTGCCTGGCAAGTACAAGGTCCTAAGTTCAATCCCCAGTACAAAAAAAAAAAAAAAAAAGGGGGTTGGGGAATATAGCCCGGGGTTCCATCCCCAGTATCACTCTTCTTTTAGGGGGAAAAAAAAAAAAAAATTGATACAGGCTAAAAAAACCAGTATACCATGAAAATGGTATATGAAACAATTGTTGAAAAAAATGCAGTAATTCTCCATCCCTAGCTCTTTTTATTTATTTTGAGATGGTGTCCAAATAACTAAGACACCCAGGCTGGACTTCAGCTTGGCAGTCCTGCCTCAGCTCAGAGAAGACTGGGACTGCACATTTATGCCACCACACCTACTGAAAGCTGAAATTTCTTTTTCTTCTTCTTTTTTTTTTGGCAGAACCAGGGATTGCACTCAGGCCCTTGCATTTGCCAGACAAGCACTTAGTCTACTAAGCTATCCCTGGCCCCTAAATTTCTTTCTTTCTCATTTTCACTTTTCATTTTGTTTTTTGGGGTGTTCTCACTATGTAGCTCAGGATGGCTTTGAAGTCACAGCAGTCTCGTGCCTCAGCCTGCTGAGTGCTGGACTTATAGGCAGGCATCACCTTGCCCAGCTAAATTGGGTAACACATACTTTCTGTGCACATCAACCATCAGACATGTGCTCGGCCCTCAGCATCAGGCAGTGAGGTGCCATGGAGGACACAGGCATAGCGCCTGTGGGCCCTATCTCTAGCATTGTCAGCCCAGGGAACATGGGTCACTCGCGGGTGATGGGGCAAAGCAGTGTAATGCGAGTGGCTATGGAAGGCACAGGGAAGCTAGGAGATGAGAGGGAAAGTCATCCAGCATAGACGCAGGCATGAGAGGTACACTTGTGCTTTGTGTGTTAGGTCTGTAGCTTATTCATAGCATTGCTTTGCAAAGGAAAGATGACTTGGCTCCTAGAGAATTTGTTTGGAAGTGCCTTTTGGTATAGAAGATTTACTTAAAAGGAAAGGAAACTCAGGGTTTCCATGAATGAGTAACTGTCCTGTCTGGGGAGGAGAGTGAGTGAACATTGAGGTGGTACCGTGGGGACTGGGCCAGCTGCAGGCTGTGGGCCCCTTGACCAGGTCACGTTTGCCAGAACATTCCCCGGCGAGTGCTGGAAGCCACCTACGGCATTAGCATCCCAAAGCCCAGGGAAGATGAAGATCCTCACCGGCCTCCAACCTCAGAAGAATTGTTGACAGCATATGGGTGTAAGTTTCTTTTAAAACACACAGGGGGCTGGTAAGATGGCTCAGTGGTCTAAAGCACCTACTTAGAACAAGCTTAGCAAAGCCCAGGGACCGTGGTTCAATCCCCCAGCACCACATGCCAGCCAGCCCGCCCCCTGGTGGGCTGAGCTGCCCCCCCCCACACACACACATAAATAAATTTTAAAAATTAAAAAAAAACACACAAAAAAAAAAGTGTGTGTGTGTGTGTGTGTGTGTAACAAATAATTGAATTCTGGGAGGTAGGTTCTGAGTATTAATCCAGGGTATGTGCTTTAACCCTGAGCCACACCGCCAGCTCCATTTTATTTTGTAAATCTTTATTTATTTATTTGACACAGGGTCTCACTATGAAGCTCCTCCTGTCTCAGCCTCCCCAGCACTAGGATTACAGGCCTGTGCCACCATGCCCAGTTTTAGGCGCTGGCATGGCATGCAGTACCAGGGATCAAACCTGGGTCCTTGCACTTGCCAGGCAGGTGCTTAGGCCATTGAGCTATCTCCCCAGCCACCATTATTTTCTTTTTTTAAAATTAGATTTTATTGCTACATTTTAGGTATATGTAGCAATCACTTTCATCATAGAGAATTTGTACCTGTATATGATACTTCGTTTTTTTCTCATTCCTCTACCTTCTCTTCAACCCCCTCCCTTTGCCTAGTTACAAAAGTTTTGTGTCTATATTTTCCTTTGTTTTACTGTTTTGTTTTACTTTTCCCTTCTTTCCTTTCCCCTCTCCCCTGTTCCGTTGCCCACTCGAACATTTTCTTCCTATTTCACAGTACCTGTTAGACATTTTGTTCCTTACACCTTTGGTTTCTCACACCAGCGAAACAATGTGCTATTTACATGTGTGTTCAATTTAGTTCACTTAAGAGTATGAACTCATGGTGCGTCCATTTTCCTAGAAATGGCTCAAGTGGATTCTTCTGTATGGAAGAGTAGTATTCCATTGTATAGAAAAACAACATCTTCTTTATCCATTCATCAGTTGATAGGCATTTGTGCTTTTTACAAGATTAGGCTATTAAAAACTGTGCCACTTATGAGATGGTACACAGAAAAGGAATAGCTGGGTCAAACCTCTAGTCCTAGTTGAGACCCCTGCACACTGATTTCCACAGTGGACGAGAAATGGAACGCATGACCTTGCACTCACCAGGCAGGCACTATGCCACTGAGCTACATTCCAGTTTTTTAATAATATCCTACATATCCTAAATACTGTTTTTCATCCAGTATTAACTGATAAAATCAGTAAGAAGAAAAGCCACTTTATAAGACCGACCCCACATGTGTCCCTTCTGAGATCACTTATCTGTGGGTCTGTTCAGAATTGCATGTTTGAGCCAGGTGTGGTGATGCTTGCCTGTAATCCCAGCACTCGGGAAGCTGAGGCAGGAAGATTGCTACAAGTTCAAGACCAGTCTGGGCTATGTACTTAGTTCAATGGCAACGTGAACTATACAGCAAGACCCTGTCTATAAAAAAGAAAGAAAAGAAAAAAAGACTCTGGCAGTAGGTTTTTAAAAGGTATTTCCAGTTTGCTCTACTTTTACTTTGTTTTTCTTTAAGTACTAGTAAAGCTGGACACCTTTGCAAGTATCCATTGGTTTTCTGTATTTCGGGTCACCTTTTCTATGCATGAGTTCTTCCTTCTGCATGCTCTATCTATTGTTTTTCCTAATGTTTATGGGTTTTAGCCCTATAAAAGTGTTTTTATGGGTTGGGGGGGGTGGTCTTTTTTGAGAAAGAGTCTTGCTGTGCAGTTCAGGCTGGCCTTGGGCTCACATTGTAGCCCAGGCTGGTCTTGAGCTCACAATGCTCCTCCTGCCTCAGCCTTCTGAGTGCTGGGATTACGGAGGTGTGTCACACGCCCAGATGAGATCTTGTAATCTACCTAAATTTATTTTTGTATATCATATAAATTAGGATTTTAAATGTTTTCTTCTTGGGGCTGGTGAGATGGCTCTGTGGTCTAAAGCACCTACTTATACTTAGAAAAAGCTTAGCAAAGCACAGGGACCGCGGTTCAATCCCCCAGCACCACATGCCAGCCCACCCCGCCCCCTGGTGGGCTGAGCTGGCCACACACACACACACACACACACACACATATAAATAAAGTTCTTTTTAAAAAAAATAAATAAAATAAATGTTTTCTTCTTAAGTGAAAAGGGCCACACATAGCTGGTGCACAAAGGGGCTAAGTTTTTTAGTTCAACCTGTCTGTCAAAGCCTATATATACTCTTAAACCACTGTGTTCTGCCTCTATCTACTGAGTTAGTATTGAAGGGATCTTTATGGTCTATTTGGGAAACTGGAAGAAAAAAAAAATACAGGTATATCACTAAAGATAAAAGCTTGTTGCCAGGTATGGCAGTTCCTGTGTGTGTTTCTAGTCATTGAAGAGACCAAGGCTGGAAGATCACAGGTTTGAAGCCAGCCTGAGCAACTTAGTGAGATTCTGTTTCTAAACAAAAGGAGTTGGGGCTGGAGAGATGGCTCAGTGGTCTAAAGCACCTACTTGAAACAAGTTTGGCAAAGCACAGGGACCGCGGTTCAATCCTCCAGCACCACATGCCAGCCAGCCCCGCCCCCTGGTGGGCTGAGCTGGCCACACACACACACACACACAATAAATAAATGTAATAAATATAAATAAATATTTAAAAAAAAAAAAGAAAAAAAAGAAAAATTTAAAAATAAAAAAATAAACAAAAGGAGTTAAGGACATAGCTTGGTGGTAGAGGGCCTCAGGATTCAACCCCAAGTGCTCCACAGCATTTGGGTTTGCAGCTAGTAATGTTCTCGGGTGACCTCTATTAATCAATGTTTTAGTTCACGGAGTAGAGCATTGAGACATTGCGTGTCTTTCACAGCGTGGTACTGAGTGGATTTTAACATATAGTTTGTCCTTGTGTTGCCACACTGTAATACCTAACAGAAAATACTCTACGATGATAATGAATGAACTTTTTAAAAAACAGGAGTAAGGCTGGCAAGATAGTTCAGCGGACTAAGCGCCTGCTTAGGCAAGTGCAGGGACTGAGGTTCGATCCCCTGCACCACATGCTGTGCCATCCCCGTCCCAAGGCCCACGGAGCCAGCCACCAAGACTGTGCGTGGTGGCACACACCTGTAATCCCAGTACTGGAGAGGCTGAAAACAGGAGGATTACTAGAGTCTGAGCTACAGTGAGATCCTGTACAAAATGCATAAAATAATAAACAGTAAGTGTGCATAATTAGTATATCCATGGAAAGGACGAAATGTGCACCCTTTCATGGGGAGGTGTTGTGATGTAATACCATCTGCCAAGTAAGGTTTCGCGCAATTCGTTTCTCCCACAGCCATGCGAGGATTCATGACAGCACATGGCCAGCCAGATGAGCCTCGCTCCGCACGCTACATCCTGAAGGACTATGTTAGAGTAAGTGAATCCTGTTTTGTGTGGCGCTTGATAAAATGAATCTTCTTGCCTACACACTGCATTCAAGCTAAACTGCTGACCTCTTGGTTCTGAAGAGTTTCTCAGTGAGATGGAGTTACAGTGGGGGTGTAGTCTCCATCCAGGGGAGTCAGCCTCGCATAATTACGGAAGGGGCTGGTGACGTCCTTTCTCAGGAACGATGAAACCGTTTTAGCACTGTTACCACTGAGGAGTGCTGATTCTTACATCCAACTTTCTGTCTCTTTTTACTTGTTTGCATTGTGTCCCAGTCTTCCTTGTAGTGTCACTGCCTGCCTTTCCTCCCGAACTTTCCTGATTGCAGCAGTACTAAAGGCTGACATTCCATTTGGAGCCACCTCAACTGTGAATGTTTTCCATGAATCTCTTCACGAAGTCAGAACAGGGAAGCTGGGGCACAGTTCAGGGGCAGAGCAAGTACCCCATGAAAATACAAAGTAAAAGCTCGTTGATGAGGTCTTACCTGTCATGTTACAATGACACTGTTTGGGCTTGCCTCATCACTAAGCACAGTGCCTGCTACCTATTCGTTCGCTAAGACACAGCATGTGTTAAGTTAAATTTTTTCCAACAATCAGCATTGCTGCAATTCTTAGTAATAACTAATTGTGAAACTTGAACTTTATTCCCTGCTCTGTTCAACTCCCAATCCAGGGAGCTCTTGGAGTGTAGCAATAAAAGTAGGCCTTGCTGTTTTTTGGGGGTTTTTTGTATATGTATTTTTTTAAATAGTTTTATTGAGAAACAAATAGTAATGAGACAGTTTCAAAATTAGGGAGATAGCTCAATAGAATAAGCGCTTGCCTGGCAAGCACAAGGGCCTGAGTTCAATCCCCGGTTCCAAAAAAAAAAAAAAAAAAAAAAGATTAGTAGGACAGTTTCAAAAATTAATACATTGCATATTGTTGTCTTCTAAAGTAGTAGCTTTATTTTTTTGTTTTTTATATTTTTTTTGCAGAACCAGGGATTGAACTCAGGCCCTTGCACCTGCCAGGGAAGCACTTATTCTACTGAGCTATCTCCCCAGCCCTGTTTGACTTTGACTTAGAAACAACATAGATACTACTGTTCAGATGGAAAATTGTTTATTCCTTCACCTTTTGTGTGTGTGTATGTGTGGTTCTGGGGATCGAACTCAGCCTTGTGCATACTAAGTAAACACTCTATCACTGAGCTCCAGCTCCAGCCCTATTCATTCACATTTGAACTGTGGAGGGTAGAGAGATGAGTTAATTGGCATAACTTTTTAAGCGTCTATGGCGGGAATAGGCATGCTGCACTGAGGCAGCAGGCCTAGTCCTGCATATAAGAATCTAAGTGAGCTGGGTATGGTGGCACACACTTGTAATCCCAGCACTCAGGAGGCCGAGACAGGAGGATGAGTGTGAGTTCAAGGCTAGCCTGAACTGCATAGCAAAAGCCTGTCTCAGAAAATCTACAGCTGATCTTTGGGATGCCCCAGCCCCTTGCACTTAATAGGCAAGCACTCCCTATGTTGCTGAGCCCTAGAGACTTCCTTGATGTCACAGTCCTGGGCTGGGCTGATACTCCCATTGGCACAGTCAGAAATTTCACATTGTATCTTGGTTTGGGTTTGGAAAATATTTGGCACAAGTATAATCATAAAAGCATCCTGGAGAGTTAGGCCACCAGAAGTCAGCTCAGCTGGACCCACACACAAAAAGCCCCATGAGGGTGTGAGCTGCTCGGTGTCTGCTCTTGGTAATACAGTGGCTCTGTGATGCACTGCCACATTTATCACCTGTTGTCTCTGCAGGGTAAACTGCTGCACTGCCACCCTCCTCCCGGAATGGACCCTGTGACATTTCAGTATCAACACCAGCGAACCCTGGAGGACAAGGCGATCAGTGCTGAAATAACACAGCCAAGCAGAAACAAAAAAGAGGAGCATATTGAAAATGTAGTTGACAAAATATTTTTCCATCAAGTAAGTTTT